GGGGACGGCCTGCAAGACAGGGACTGGAGCAGCAAAGTCCATCCCACTGTAAGAGAAGTTCAGGTTTGAGACCACCTGAGGAACCTGAACATGCACAAGTTGATGGGACCTGATGAGATGCATCCCAGAGTCCCGAGCGAACTGGCTGGTAGTAGAAAAGCCACTCTCCATGATAGTTGAAAAGTCCTGGCACTCAGGTGAAGTCCCTGGAGACTGGAAAAAGGGAAACATTGCACCCATTTTAAAAAGGGTAGGAAGGAGGACCCTGGGAACTAGCGACCCGTCAGCCTCAGCTGCGTGCCTGGGAAGATCATGGAGCAGATCCTCCTAGAAGCTATGCTAAGGCCCCACATGGAGGGCACGGAGGTGTTTTGCACCAGCCAGCATGGCTTCACCAAGGGCAAGTCCTGCCTGACCAACCTAGTGGCCTTCTGTGATGGAGTGACTACATCAGTGGACAAGGGAAGAGCTGCTGATGTCATCTATGAGGACTTCTGTAAGGCCTTTGACACAGTCCCCCACAACATCCTTCCCTCTACATTGGAGAGAGATGTGGATTTGATGGCTGGACTGTTGGGTGGATGAGGAATAGGCTGGATGTTCACACCCAGAGGATAGTGGTCAATGAGCCCAGATAGAGGTCAGAGACGAGTGGTGTCCCTCAAGGGTCCATACTGGGACCAGTACTCTTTAATATCTTCATCAATGACATAGAGAGTAGGATCAAGTGCACCCTCAGCAAGTTTGCAAATGACACCAAGCTGAGAGGTGTGGTTGACATGCCAGAGGGACAGGATGCCATCCAGAGGGAGATGGACAAGCTCCAGGAATGGGCCCATGTGAACCTCATGATGTCCAACAAGGCCAAGTGCAGGGTCCTGCCCCTGAGTTGGGGCAACCCCCAGTATCAATACAGGCTGGGGGATGAAGGGATGGAGAGCAGCCGAGAAGGGCTTGGGGGTGCTGGTAGACAAAAAGCTGGACATGAGCCGGCAATGTGTGCTTGCAGCCCAGAAGGCCAACTGTGTCTTGGGCTGCACCCAAAGCAGCATGGCCAGCAGGTCGAGGGAGGTGCCTCTGCCCCTCTGCTCCCCTCTGACAGGACCCCAGCTGGAGTACTGCGTCTGAAGGGATGGAGAGCAGCCGAGAAGGGCTTGGGGGTGCTGGTAGACAAAAAGCTGGACATGAGCCGGCAATGTGTGCTTGCAGCCCAGAAGGCCAACTGTGTCTTGGGCTGCACCCAAAGCAGCATGGCCAGCAGGTCGAGGGAGGTGCCTCTGCCCCTCTGCTCCCCTCTGACAGGACCCCAGCTGGAGTACTGCGTCCAGCTCTGGAGCCCTCAGCACAGGAAAGACATGGACCTGTTGGAGAGGGTCCAGAGGAGGGAGACCAAAATGATCAGAGGGATGGAACAGCTGTGCTGTGAGGACAGGCTGAGAGAGTTGGGGTTGTTCAACCTGGAGAAGAGAAGGCTCCAGGGAGACCTTACTGCAGCCTTTCAGTACTTAAAGGGGGCTTCTAAGAAAGATAGGGATAGGGTCTTTAGCAGGGCCTGTTGTAACGGACAAGGGGCAATGGTTTTAACCTAAAAGTAGGTACATTTAGACTTGATCTAAGGAAGACATTTTTCACAATGAGGGTGGTGAAACCCTGGCCCAGGTTGCTGAGAGAGGTGGTAGGGACGTATCCCTGGAAACGTTCAAGGTCAGGTTGGATGGGGCTCTGAGCAACCTGATGTAGTAGAAGATGTCCCTGCGCATTACAGGGGAGTTGGACTAGATGACCTTTAAAGGTCCCTTCCAACACAATTCTCTGATTGTATGATTCTATGATTCTACGATGCTATGGTGTGTTCCTATTCCTGGACTGCCCACATCTACTGGATAGAGAAGGGACAGACCTTGCCTTACTGCCGTGGTGGCAGTCATTCACCTGCACGAAGGCTTCAAACCGGTCTGCAATGCTCTCTGGGGTGTCTGTCACACTCGCTCTGAATGGGGATGGCCTTCCAGTCTAGGACCAGTGCTGTCCCTACCAACTGCATGTATGGGGATGTGAAAGCCTTGGCATGTCACATAACACTACAGACCTGTACTTGACCATTAAAATGAGTAACTGCCCTGAATTTGATTAGGCAGTGTGGGGATGTTCATAAGAACACCATCCCATAGCTGATGGAAAAGACAGAGAGAAATGTTGGGATCACCCTGCAAGGGCTCGGCCTTGAGGAGAAGGAGCTGTGGTAAACAACTAAGAGGGAGCAAAGGAGCGCATGGACACCTGCAGGCAGCGAATCCTGACTGTGGAGAAGCGCGTGGACTGTGTGTGGTAACCAACCAGGACGTATTTTGTGGCGCGTGAAAGAGCTGTAACTGCATAAAAAGCGGACGCTTGTAGCAATAAAGGGCTTTGGCCCGAATCCCTGCCAGAGTCCGTGCCCTGTTACTCCACAGAGAAACGTAGCTCTCCCTGTGGTACGTGATTCCATTTGATCAGGAAGCTGGATCCCCTGGGAGACAGTCTTAAAGGGCAAAGGGGTCCAGGAAGGCTGGACATTCTTCAGGAAGGAAGTCTGAAAGGCACAGGAGCAGGCGGCCCCCATGTGCTGTAAGACGAGCCGGCAGGGAAGAACATTGGCCTGGCTGAACAGGGAGCTTTAGCTGGGACTCAGGAAAAAAAGAAAAAGGAGAGTTTACCATGTTTGGAAGAAGGGGCAGGCAACTCAAGAAGAGCAGAGGGATCTTGTCAGGTCATGCAGAGAGAAAACGAGAAAGGCAAAAGACCAGCCAGAACTCAACCTGTCCACGGTCATAAGAGACAGCAAAAAATGTTTTTACAAATATATTACCAACAAAAAGAGAGCCAAAGAGTATCTCTGTGGTGGAGTCACCATCGCTGGAGATGTTAAAAAAAAGTGTAGGTGTGGCACTTCAGGATACAGTTTAGTGGACATGGTGGTTTTGCGTTGACAGCTGGACTTGATGATCTTAGAGGTCTTTTCCAACTTTAATGATTCTAGGATTCTGTGATTCTAGCCCCAGGAGTGCAAACCGAGGATGAAATGCCTGACTTGACCCAGTTGAATCCCTTCCCACAGCATGGGTATAGGAGATTCCCTGCCTGTTACTTATTGGGGTGTCGAGTCTAATGATGCGACATGAAAAGGTGATTTTAGGACTTAAATCTGACTCTGGTAAGAGAAACGGCACTGCTGCAAGAAAGTGTCTCTCCCCAGCTGAGGGATGGAACATCAGGGATTGCTTCAGCCTGTTTCAGGGCGGGTTCCCCTGGAGCCCCAGGGACACCTGGAGGGAATGAAGAGTGCAGTGGGGGGCAGAGCTGCCTTGGGCTGCTCCTCTGCTGTGGAGCTGGGCCGGGCTCTGGGGACGAGGGAGCTGGTGGCAAACAGGGAGCACTGCAGAGAGACAGCTCTGGCCAGGCGCAGCTCCTGTGCAAAGCACAGCAGGGCTGAGGGCACTGCCTGCAGGCAGCGAGGGGAGAGGAGCGAGGCAGACAGAGCTTAAAGGCAGCCTGGGGTGCGAGGATGCTGAGAATTCACTGGGGGAGAAAACTTTGCAGTGCTTGACATGGTAAGTCTCTAAGTGCAGGAAACGAAGCTGCGGTTCCTGGAAGGGGTCTTGTACATCTAGCATAGCCCACAGCTTATGGCATCTTCCAGGAGGACTCACACTCCCTTTGTGTGGAGGAGAAGCATGTGCTCCAGAGCAGGGCTTCCCCGCTGCACCGTCAGAGGGACCGGGCATGACAATACTGGACTGCTATGGGGTGTGATGCTGGGTGTGCAGCCAGGGGTGCCCTGGTCTGTTCCTCCTGAGAAGGGTCCCGGTGCCCTGGGTCCCTGCACCCCAGGGTGCCGTCTGCTGTGGCAGGGACTCTGCTGCCTGCCAGGATCAGCACTCAGCCCGCCCAGGGAGGTCCCCGCAGCTCTCTGGCGAGAAGCTGTGTGTGGAGGAGCAACCGCAGGTTGGGCAGGGTTTTTCTGCTGTTGAGAGGGTGCTGCGTGGGTCAGAGCTGCTCACCTCATGGACATTTTCAGAGGGTCCTTTTGAAGAAGGGTGTCAAGGCAACTTTTAACCTTCAAAGGAAAACTGCCTTGAGTTTTCTCTTATTGGTTGTCTGAGTAGGCAGTTTGAGATGGGAATTTATTTCTCCATTCTAGAAAAGACATTGAGACCCCAGTTCTTCTCAGGACTTGCCTGAGCACCTACTTAGCCCCTGCACAGGCAGAGATGCCCCGGACAGTGCCCAGTTGCCAGGAGGGGTCTGCAGGGCAGAGCTGAATGTACAGCAGGTGGGACGAGGTCTGTGATGGGGTCTGACAGGGAGGAGATGTGGGAACAGTGAAATGGCTCCCAGCACTGACAGCTCAGGCAGCAGAGAGTGAGGAGCATCTGCTGCCAGAAACACCATGGGAGGGGGCTTTGGCACCTCCCTGCCATCCCCTGCTGTGCAGATGCCTTTCCCCAAGCAACCTTCTTGTCTCCTCTCCCACCTAGCACGGTCTCAGCAGCTGGACCCCAGAAGAGGAGAGTTGCATGTGTCTTGCAATGTGATACACAACAAACAGGATATCAAAGCAACTGCCCTGCAGTGTCGCTGCCTGGGGGGTGGTGAGCACAGCAGGGTGACGAGAAGGCTTCCCTGCATGCTGTCTTTTGTTTCTTCTTTCATTTTTAGATCATTGTGCTGTTCTTGCTCTAGAGCAAGGCATTGGAGTGGATGTGTGGCTCAACTTCTGTTTTGACACTGACTCCAGGGGTCCTGCCCTGGAGGTCTCTTCATGGGAACTAGGTGCCCAAGCTCCATGAGGCACAATGTCATTCTGTTGGTAGTGATGGAGAATGAGCAGACTCGTTCCTCATTCAGCTCAGAGAGGGGGATTTCTATGAGAAAAGGCATGGAATTTTCTCAGATAAATGCCTCCTAATGTGTCACTGACATTTCCTCCTTGAACAGGCCCCCATTCCCAGAAGGACCAAATGTCCAACAGCAGCTCCATCACCCAGTTCCTCCTCCTGGCATTCGCAGACACACGGGAGCTGCAGCTCTTGCACTTCTGGCTCTTCCTGGGCATCTACCTGACTGCCCTCCTGGGCAACGGCCTCGTCATCACCGCCATAGCCTGCGACCACCGCCTCCACACCCCCATGTACTTCTTCCTCCTCAACCTCTCCATAATCGATCTGGGCTTCATCTCCACCACTGTCCCCCAATCCATGGCCAATTCCCTCTGGGACACCAGGGCCATCTCCTACTTGGGATGTGCTGCACAGGGTTTTTTGTTTGTCTTTTTGCTTGTAGCAGAATTGTATCTCCTCACAGTCATGTCCTACGACCGCTACGTTGCCATCTGCAAACCCCTGCACTATGGGACCCTCCTGGGCAGCAAAGCTTGTGCCCACATGGCAGTAGCTGCCTGGGGCAGTGGGTTCCTCCATGCTGTGCTGCACACTGCCGTTACATTCTCAGTACCTCTCTGCCAAGGCAATGCTGTGGACCAGTTCTTCTGTGAAGTTCCCAAGATCCTCAAGCTCTCCTGCTCAGATGAGTACCTCAGGGAAATTTGGCTTCTTGTGTTTGGTGTCTTTTTAGCATTTGTTTGTTTTGTTTTCATTGTCCTGTCCTATGTGCAGATCTTCAGGGCCGTGCTGAGGATCCCCGCTGAGCAAGGATGGCACAAAGCCTTTTCCACATGCCTCCCTCACCTGGCTGTGGTCTCCCTGTTTATCAGCACTGCGATGGTTGCTGGCCTCAAACCCCCCTCTTTTTCCTCCCCATCACTGGATCTGGTGATGGCTGTTCTGTACTCAGTGGTGCCTCCAGCATTGAACCCCCTCATCTACAGCATGAGGAACCAGGAGCTCAAGGATGCCATTAGGAAAGTGATTTCAGGGATGTTTCTCAGTAGTGATAAGCTCACCATGTCTCTACAGCAGTGAGTCCCAGGATACCCATTGCAGGCTTTTGTTTGTTTATCATTATTGTCGTCATTATCTGTTTTGTTAGTTGTGTCTATTATATTCCTAAATAAGTGTTTACATTCATCTCACTTCTTCTGAGGAATAAACATGCTGTGTCTCACCTGAAACCTGTATAAAAGGTGTCTAACAGTGGTCCAGAGCAAACTCGCTCATCACAACTCTGTAGTAAAATGGCATCTCCCCAGTGCATTTCTTCAAGATTGGGCTATCCTTCCAAAGCTGATATCAACAGCATGGCCATAAAATTTCACTACAAAAGGGCCTGTTTCTCTTTGGATTTGGGAGAGAAAAGCTCATGGTCATGTTGGTAGTTTTTAGAGACCACGGGTTACATTTTGGATTCACCTACTGGTGTATGGTAACAGTGGAGTTAGTTAGGGAATAATCACTGAGGAACCAAGCCTGGGCTGTCCCACCTGGGGACACAGGGCATCCTCCGGGAGAAGAGCCTGCAGATGCTTGGAGAGCCTGGGGGATCTCCATGGACAGGGTGTGCCAGGGCTGGGCAGTGAAAGAAAAGTCCCAAGCAAGAGATTGCCCAAGGTAGAGTCCTGCAAACGGAAAGCACTACCTCCTGGCATCGGCAAATAAGCACAAGATGGACACAGCCGACCATGCACAGACCAACTCCAACAGGGAACAGAACCTTTACAGCCACCACACCAACAAGCAGCACGTGTGCAACCGTGAGCAACACAGCTGCTAACACAGATTAGTCTGGTGTGAAGGCCATGAGTGGTCCTTTACCCCTGCAGCACTTAGCTGTGGGCACACCCCTCCTGAGGGTTCCTCCAGTGTGGGTGTGGGCTTTGGATCTGCCCAGGTGCTCTTCCCAGACTCAGGGCTATTACCCACTTGGCAGCTCCAGCATGGCAAGGTTTTGGTAGCGGGGGGGCTGCAGGGCTGCCTTCTGTGAGAAGGTGCCAGAAGCTTCCCTCATGTCCAACAGGACAGTTCCAGCCAGCTCCAAGATGGACCCACTACTGG